TCCTTGGCCTTAGATTTAGTGTTAGAGCCTTTTAGGGAGCCCTCGCCTTTAGAACCCTTCGGTGTCCAGCATATCGAGAACAATGTCTTCCAGAAGCGACTCTCAAGATATTTCAAGGGAGCCGTCGGTGCAAAGTGAGAGCATATCTGATGTGGAATCATCGAGTGAACAGCCCTCGACGCACATTGATTCTGTGGTGGCCGAGGAGATCCAAGACAACCTTCGGGCGGAGTTGGAGGTAGAGGATTTTGAGCAGGTAGTAGAGGACGAGGAGATGGCCCTCGCGCTCCAGGTGGCCGAGGAGGAGGAAGAAAAGGAGAGGCAACAAGTGACAGTTGCCGCACTCCCCCTTCGTGGCACCGGCGAAGCTAGTAGCTCCCGGACTCTGGACCCGGAACCCATCAGCGTGGCCCCAGGTAAGAGGAAGAAGAAAGTGAGGGCTGCCCCGAAGAAGAAGGAGGCTGCGGTTGATGCGGGAAAACTCGTCGACATTCCCGAGGGCTACTCCTATTTGAACGTCGCCGCCCTAGCTTTGAAATCGAGGGCTCTTCAATCAGAGTATCTGACGACTCAGTTTCTCGTCGGCCCTCAGGCGCGTGTTGTAGAGCCGAAGCCTGATGATGTACTGTCCCAGGCTCCCGAAGGCTGTTTTGCGGTTCACTTGCTGTCCTTGGAACTGGGGCTCCGATTTCCTCTTCACCCCTTTCTGATAGAGTATCTAAGGTTCGTGAAGTTGGCCCCCTGTCAACTCACACCCAACAGTCATTCCTACATCGCCGGCTTCCTGTCCCTTTGCCACTCCCGGGAGGCCGACCCGTCCTTGGATTTGTTCTTTATGTGCTTCAACCTCTGCCGAGGGGGGCATACTCATGCTGAGGGGTTTGCCAACCTGCAGCAGGTCCCGGAGTGGAGGCTCTTCTCCGAAGTCCCGTCTTCGCACAAGGGGTGGATGGACAAATTCTGCTACATCCGGATGGCAATGAACCCCTTTCCGAAGCATCTTAAAGATCGCTTCCGGAGGCACTTAAAAGTGGGGAGCGCCGCCCTCCAAAAAGACGGGAAGAAGTTGTTAGCAAAGCCCGAGGGTTCGGACAAGCAAATCACTATCAAGAATGCCACCCTCTCGGATGAGCTCTATAAGTTGGGCTTCAGGCGCTACCGGCGTTTCGGGGAGGAGGACGAGAAATACCCCTTGATTGATATGGTCCCTCAGAGCGCCAGAGGTTGTTGCCGAGGGCTCATTTTTTCTGTACTTAGTGTATTTTTGCTATGTTGTGAGTATAACATTTGTGTATTTTGCAGGACCCGCCATGGATCTGAAGGCCATCACTGCTCTGAGGAATAAGCTCGATAAGGAGCAAAAGAAGAAGGAGGCCGGCCTCCAAAAGCTAGTCGATGCCTTCTTCAAGAAGGATGGCACTGCCCCGGTTGCCGAGGGCACTTCCAAGGATGCGGGGGAAGGCCCCCAGGTCGAGGGGGTGACCAAGAAGCCGGCAAGGGCCAGGTGCCCCCAGAAAAGAAAAGTCCGAAGAAGGGAGCTGTCGAGAAGAATGACATTCCGGTGGTGAACGTAGAAGAGCTGTCCTCCTCCCAGGCCCTGGTGTCTACTCCCCCTCGCTCCCCCATTATTCCTGCTACCGAGAAGTCATGGCCTCGGGAAGATGTGCAGTTCTCCATAAAGAAGGGAACTTCCATCGTGCATGGTACCTTGGACCCGAAGGAGTTTGATGTGAGTTTTCTCGCACTTAAAAAGATTGTAATATAGTGGTGTAAGTACGAGTATCGTCTCCACAGGGACGGACAAAAGGGAATCAAGAATTAATTAAATTCAGCGATTAAAAAGAAATAAAATAAATGCGTCGTGCGAGATTTGATTGGGTGGAAAATTAAACTAATGCTAATGAGCAATAAAATAAAAAGATTGGTTTCTCTCTAATTAATGACGAAGGGAACAGGAATTGATTCCGGGGTTAACCAGATTTCTGGCAGAACAGGCCTAATCACATGAATTTAATTTAATTGAGCCTAGCTAATCATTACTAAGTTCTTACCGCTCTCGCGGCGTAGAGTACAATAATTTAGGGGACCAGGCTGATCTCTCATGCGACAAGATCCTAAATTATTGCCAAGACGAGCGAGCTTACGGCCCCTTAATCGCTACTAATCTCTTAGCGAACGATTAAGTGTGTGTGAATGTGTCCTAGAACAAATTAGATCTCTCTTAATTTATTCTACATGCAATTGTAATTCTAGCTGCAGTCTAGGTTACAAGAGATATCAATTAAATTATTCAAACACAAATTAAACGGCATTCATGCAATTAAACCAAAAAGAATCTAGCCATACATCATGATTAACCCCTTCATCAACCCCAAATCCCTAATTAAACTACTCACAATTCATAATTGAAGAATCAACAGAATTGGAATGAATAGAAATAATTGTCATTAATCAAAAAGATGAAACTTACAAAGAATCTCAGGGTCTTGAACAAAATAATGGAAAAAACACTGTAAAACACGTCCCTAATCTTCTCTCTAGGTTTCCGAACCTCAAAACGGGGTAAGGGAGGCTTAATTTATAGAAAACAATGAGTTTGGGTCGAAAAAGGACAGATCCGCGGTACGCACGGAGCCTACGCACGGCGTGCGTTGCGTCCGTGCGTCCGACGGACGTCCGTGTAAATAGGCAACGCACGGCGTGCGTTCCCCTACGCACGTCCGTGCGTTGCTGCCAGTAGCCATTCTTCGGTAAAACGCTTTGAACGCACGGCGTGCGTACCCGGACGCACGGCCGTGCGTTACCGCCAGTAGCTTCCTTCAATTTAACGCCTTGGACGCACGGCGTGCGTACCCCTACGCACGTCCGTGCGTTGCTGCCAGTAGCCATTCGCCATTTTGTCGCCTTGAACGCACGGCGTGCGTACCCGGACGCACGGCCGTGCGTTGGTCATTACTTTTCTTGGCCGCTACTTCCACGCACGCACGCCGTGCGTCCCTGTACGCACGGCCGTGCGTGGCCTTTCTTCTTCATTTTCTTCGATTTCTTTCGTTTTAAGCCTCCGTTTGACCACTCGATCGATCCAGAAGCTCTTTCTTCATCAAAACATCATCGTGAATCTCCCGGTGGCCTCCAAAACTGCGAATTCACTCTCGAATGCTTCTTAACTCGTCCCGATCTCTTTCTCAAATGCCGATGCCGGGTCCCAAAACTTGATTTCAACTCTGAAAATACCAAAACTCATACCCTACGCCCGATACACATGACTTGAGCTAAAATTGAGACTTACGACACCCAAAAGTTAGGAAAATTATCAAAATCCGACCCCAACACGCATCAAATGCGTGTTGAAATACGAACTTATCAGATTCCCCCACACTTAAGCTTTTGCTTGTCCTCAAGCAAACTGAACAACGGGACTTACATAATCACCACCCGGAATTAAAACAGTTAGCATGCACACGTAGTTAAAGGGATATTCACAGAACAGGCAGACTAAACCAAGAAAATTCTTCCCTAAACTACATCTTTGTACTCTAGCGAACATATTTGACAAAATTATTCACAATATCCTCAAAGCAGTGACAGCACACACAAATAAACTAGTTAGTGATCAGAAGGACTTGTGAAGGTGGTGGTGAATGGATCATGGATAGCAATAATAGTCCCTTTCTTTTGAGAGATTGGAATATTCTAACAAAGACTCAATGTATTCAGGAACTTCAGGGCTATTCTTAGGATCAAAGAACTTAGTAGGCCACAATTTAGGAACAATCATTTAAACCTATGCAAAGAGTAGACATGGTGTACAACTAAGCTAAACCGTCTCGGCCCATTTGTGCTTTGACGTATACTTGAAGTACGCGGAGGACTAAAGCTAAATTTTGAGATAGCCTCCAAGTTCATTAATTTAAGTTTAGTTTTCCTTGTCATGTTGGCACGAGAACGCCGTTTCTTTCGAAAGATACCCAAGTCTCATCTCACGCTTTTTGACCGGGGCTCCCATTCTCTTTTTCGTAAAGTAAGAGGTCTAGCTATATTAATTTTTCACCTTTCGGATTCTCACTAGACATTACCTCATTCTAATCTCGGCCTCACCAAGGAAAAATAGCAATTAAAGTTCATTAATTTAAAAGTGAATCCATGCCTACAATGCAATCTTCGAAAGTATCAAATTCCTAAAAAGTGACTGCTCTTACCCTATTTGGGGCATAGGAACAGTGCCAAAAATGGCTCCTACACAAATTCCCTAAACTTAGCAAGTTAATCCCCTAGTTCCCTAAACACCAAGACTAAGTCAGAAATATTCACGGGTATGGAAACAGGCCATTTGGCTATGGAGCTCAATTAATCGGGTAACAATAAACGGGCAGGCTCAAAATGGCTTCTCCTAAAGGGTCTTATTCATGTGGGGTGGATGATTAATGGATTAATTCAATGGGTGACTAATGCCTTCATCCTTTCAACAACTAGATTATAGTGCAAGCAAATTAAGCCTAAACACTTTAAAGAATGTCATAAAAGCATAGTCAAAATGTTAGCCAGCTCACAAAGACACAGTTTAAAGAAAAATTTGCAAAAATTTTGCATGAATTTCCTCTGAATATACAACTAACACCTGCGCATGCTAACTCCAATAATTACAAATAACAACTAATGCCCGAATGCCCAGTTCACTCCCCCACACTTAAACTTTGGCATCGCCCTCGATGACCAAAAATGCATAATGCACAAGGGGATAAAGGGAAAGGGTCGCGCGTGCTCAACATCAACTCAAGTCAACAAAAGGCAGGCGAAAAAGTACGAGTAAGGAACGTAGAAACTCCCCTAGGTCTTTGGTCGGCCTTGAACTCAATCGATCCTTCATTCCAAACATCTAAGCAACGATCAATTATCAATAAAAGCTGCAATCACAACCAAGCAGAAAGAAAACATCCACGAAAACAGAGAGTAAAAGAAGTGTCAGGTGCTCAGTGCAGAATGTGATCAAAATGGGTACAATGTATCGTAATCTAAAATGGGGGAGGGGGTGGCTGCTGATCATCGGGGAACTGTCTGTCCCATCTCTGCTCCAATGACGTCATCCTCAAATCAAGACTGGAGAAGCCTGCAGTAACATCGTTGCTCATCTGCGTGAAAAACTGCTGCTGGTGCTCATAAAGTCGGCCATACATATCCTCTATATGCTGATGCATCCCTTCCCAAGAGTTGGGAAACACATGTCCCTGGGGAGGGGGCAGAACGGGGGCCCCATGCATCATCTCATGCGCGTCATCCTGCTCAGCCTGCTGGTGGCCCTCAGCACCACCGTCATCATCATCTGCGTGCCTAGCTGCTCGGCGTCCAGCTGGAATCTCCTTGGGCAGCGTCTCCATCGGATAAATATGCTCTACGACTGTCATCCCCTCTAGGCGGTCTCCATACCCCATGGCCTTCATCATCCGTGTAATGTATGGTCCCGCAAAAAGCTCCTTGACCCGATAACTAGCCTGCCTGGCAAAAAGTCCCGCGAAGAGAGCGCCAAAGATCGGTCTCCTCCCATGAATCATGCAATAGAGACAGAAAAAGTCAGTGGAGGAGACCTTGCCGCCTTTCTCTGCGCGGCCAGAAACTGTGGAACTCAACAAGGCATGGATGACACGGTACTTGAGTGGGTGTAGGACTGTACTAGGCGATGTCTGTGAGTTGTACCTGCCCCCATTAATAGTAATAGACTCCCAAAACTGTTGTTGATTCACCTCCTTCGGAAAGTCTAAAAGGCTCCCATCCCATCGGGCAACATCGTCCAATCGCTCAAAACCTAAGTGTGAAGAGATGTCATTGGCTGAAAGTACATGGTCCTCCCCGAAAGCTCTAAACTTGATTACCGGGTAAAAGCTGTTGGTGATTTCCCTCGGGGCCTTGAAAGAAGACAGAACCTCGCAAGTGATCTCTTTATAAGTCGGCTCATTGATGCCGAAAAAGAGATGTTGCCACCAATCACGGGACAACAGCTGCATCACCTCGTCTTGGATTCCGGCTTTCTCCAGTGTAGGCAAATGGGGGAACAAAATTTTTCCCGCTCGCCTTTGCATTAATTCCTCAAATTTCTCTTTTTGGGCGTTATCCCGAAACTGGGGTTGGTAGGGTACAATCGGCTGCTGATTTCTGTTTGGGTTGGCCCGGCTGGAGCTAGCACCGGTGTTGTCCCGGTGCCTCTTAGCGGAATGCTTGGTGCGGGTCATCTGCAAAAGAAAAATAATCCACGAAGGTTCCAACGGGGTTGCCACAGGTTAGAGATAAGCCAAGAGTTTCGAAATCATAGCCCCGTTGGCCACACTACATCTCAAACACAAATAAAAGCTAATACAAACCCAATGTTTAACCAGAATAGTTGAAAATTGAACTTTTATCAAAGAACTTTGAATAAAAATCAAATTTTCAACGACACACGGTGTAAACAATGTCATAAGCAAGCATCATTCATGTTTTCAGATTAGAATTCTTCCCAACTTATTTAGCTAAAATGTCAAAATTTTTGGGGAAGAACTCAAAAGTTCCAATTTGGACAATGTTTAGCCCAAAAATTGTGGATTCATTCTCAAGTAGACTAAACAACAATCATGTATCATCGTAAGCAATAATTCACTACCTTCATTCTAGCAACAAACACAAAATCCCCAAAATTTTCTCAAAATCAACCCTAAATTGGCCAAGTCAACTCAAAAATTAGGGATTCCAAACAAAAGAGGCAAATTCATACACTTAGAACATCAAAATCATCAATACAAGCCTCAATTTGAACAAAGGAAATCAAATCCCTAACTTTTGAGCTTATGCAAAAATCGGATTTTACAAAGCTTGAAACACCATTAATGGAGAAGGGAGCTTGAGGAAGAAGAATAATACCGTTGAGCGAGTAGAGGAGAGAGGGAGAGGCGGCGGCGGTTGGTGGTGCGGAGGGCGGCGGCGTGGTGCGGTGGTGGCGGTGTGGGTCGCGGTCGAAAGAGGGAAGGGAGGGGGTTCGTGCGTGCGTCGTGGGTAAAGGAGGGGTGCGTGCGTGGTTTTTTTTTTTTTTGTTTATCGGGCAGGGTGGGTATTTTAGATAGGTAACGCACGGCGTGCGTACCCGGACGCACGGCCGTGCGTGCCTGCCAGTAGCTACTTGCGCATCTAAATGGCTAACGCACGGCGTGCGTACCCGGACGCACGGCCGTGCGTGCCTGCCAGTAGCTGGGTCCGTATTTTGCCTTGGCAACGCACGGAGTGCGTACCCGGACGCACGGCCGTGCGTGCCTGCCAGTAGACGATCCATCTTGCTTTATGGCCAACGCACTTGCAAAAGATTTTTTTTTTTTTTTTTTTTTTTTGTGGTTTTTGTGGGTTTTTTAAAAAAAAAAGCAACAAAACTAAACTAAACAAAAACAAATTAAGCTCGGGTTGCCTCCCGAGAAGCGCTATTTTTAACGTCGTTTGCCCGACGCAACTACGCACTCATCTCTCTAAATTCGTGACAAAGGTCACCTCACGCTCGCGTTCTAGCGGTCCTCCGTAGTATTTCTTCAGGTGATGGCCGTTAACTTTAAAACGGCCCTTCTCAGGATGATCAATCTCAACAGTTCCATACGGAAAAACTTCGCTCACTACAAAAGGACCGGACCACCTAGACTTCAACTTCCCTTTAAAAATCTTCATTCGGGGATTGAATAGCAGAACTTGATCCCCCTTACAAAACTCTTTTCCTTGCTTAATGTGCCGATCATGATAGGCTTTGGTACGCTCCTTACTAATTTTAGAGTTCTCATAGGCCATAAGCCTCCACTCGTCCAACTCGTTGAGCTTCCAAAGCCGTTCACGACCCGCCAAAGACAAATCCTTATTTAATGTTTTCAAGGCCCAGTATGCTTTATGTTCTATCTCTACCGGAAGGTGGCACGCCTTCCCATAAACCAAGTGAAACGGAGTAGTGCCAATGGGTGTCTTATACGCTGTACGCAGTGCCCACAGCGCATCATCTAGCTTATCAGACCAATCCTTCCTATGGGTCTCAACAGTCTTTTCAAGGATTGTCTTAATGTCCCTATTCGAATTCTCAACTTGGCCACTAGTTTGAGGGTGATAGGGGACGCCCCCTTTATGAGTGACCCCGTACTTTGCCAGAAGGCGAGTCATCGGATCATTCCTAAAGTGGGTACCCCTGTCACTTATCAAAACTCGTGGCACTCCAAACCTAGAAAACAATTTTTTCAGAAAACGAATCACAACTCTAGCATCATTTGTGGGCAGAGCTTCAGCCTCGACCCACTTGGAGACATAATCCACAGCAACCAGAATGAATTTATTACCTTTAGAACCCGGGAACGGCCCCATGAAGTCAATGCCCCAAACATCAAATACCTCACAAGCCAATATAAAATTCTGGGGCATTTCATCCCTCTTGGTAACCGGCCCGGTGCGTTGACATCTGTCACATTCCTGCACAAACGTTAGAGCATCTTTAAACAAAGTGGGCCAGAAGAAACCACATTCCAACACCTTACGAGCTGTCCGGTTAAAAGAATAGTGTCCCCCAGTCGGTCCGGAGTGACAATGTTTGAGAATCTCAACTCCTTCACTCAGGGGAACACATCTTCTAACAACCTGATCAGCACAAATACGAAACAAATATGGTTCCTCCCAGAAATAATATTTCAAATCAGCAAAAAATTTCCGTCGTTGATGAGGTGTATAATCAGAAGGAACAACACCCCCAACAAGATAGTTGGCGATGTCAGAAAACCAAGGCACCTCATCAACGATCCTCAACAGTCTCTCATCAGGAAAAGTACCCTCAATATCTCTCTCACTCAGGGAATCAAGAAAGGGGTTTTCTAACCTACTCAAGTGATCAGCCGCTAAATTCTCAGCCCCTTTCTTATCCCTAATCTCAATATCAAACTCCTGGAGTAGTAATATCCACCGAATCAATCTAGGCTTAGCATCCACTTTTTGCATCAAATATTTAAGAGCAGAATGATCGGTGAATATCACTACCTTAGACAAAATCAAATAAGGACGAAACTTGTCAAGAGCAAACACAACAGCAAGCAATTCTTTCTCGGTGGTAGTGTAGTTTTCTTGGGCACTATCGAGAGTCTTTGAAGCATATGAAATAGGCTGAAAATGTTTCTCTCGACGCTGCCCAAGAACGGCTCCTACTGCAAAATCACTAGCATCACACATAATCTCAAAAGGCAAAGACCAGTCAGGAGCTACTACCACCGGTGCCTTGACCAGTTTCTCCTTCAAACACTCAAAAGCCTCTAAACACTCCTTTGAGAAGTCAAATGGTGTGTCCTTCTCAAGGAGTTTAGTCATGGGTCGGGCTATCTTAGAAAAGTCCTGGATGAACCTACGGTAAAAACCTGCGTGGCCTAGAAAGCTCCTAATGGTACGGACCGAAGTAGGGGGAGGTAGTTTAGAAATCACATCAACCTTAGCCGGATCAACCTCAATCCCCCTACTTGAAATCTTATGCCCTAGGACCACTCCCTCACTAACCATGAAGTGGCACTTCTCCCAGTTAAGCACCAAATTCACCTCTCGACACCTAACCAGGACTTTCTTCAAGTTCTCTAAGCACTCATTAAAAGTATCACCATACACAGAAAAGTCATCCATAAAAACTTCCATAATCTTCCCAATGAAATCCCCAAAAATAGCAAGCATGCATCTCATAAAGGTAGCAGGGGCATTACATAATCCAAACGCCATCCTCCGATAAGCAAAGGTACCGAATGGACATGTAAAAGTGGTCTTATCCTGGTCCTCGGGGGCTATGGGGATCTGGAAGTATCCCGACATCCCGTCAAGGAAACAGTAAAACTTATGCCCTGCTAGCCTCTCTAAAATCTGGTCAATGAAGGGGAGGGGGAAGTGGTCTTTCCGGGTGGCGGCATTCAATCTTCGGTAATCAATGCAAACCCGCCATCCTGTGACCGTACGTGTAGCAATCAACTCATCTTTCTCATTCCTAACCACAGTCATCCCCCCTTTCTTGGGAACCACCTGGGTCGGGCTGACCCAAGGGCTGTCTGAAATTGGATAAATAATTCCTACATCTAACAGACGGATGACTTCCTCCCTGACTACTTCCTGCATATTAGGATTCAATCTCCTTTGTGGCTGCACTACCGGTTTAGCATTATCTTCCATCAAAATTTTATGAGTGCAGAAAACAGGACTGATTCCTTTCATGTCAGAAAGTTTCCGGGCTAGAGCTCCCCTTTGTTCACAAAGTAAGTCAAGACATGCAGATTTTTGGGATGGCTCAAGCCCGGATGCTAGAATAACAGGGAGGTCAGGACTATCATCTAGAAACGCATACTCAAGGTGGGAGGGAAGAGGCTTTAGATTTAATGGAGAAGGAGTAACAATAGAAGAATCAGTCTGACAGTCTTCCTTCTCCACCTTATCTAAGTCATCTTCCTTCCCCTTCACATCACTAGCATCACTTGAGTCCTCCTCCCCATCAAGCATAAGGCAATCAAAACTGGGGAGGAGCTCAAGATCCTCTGCTGACAAACTATCATCCAAAAGAAGATCAAAGAAGGCTTCATCAGAAAGCATGTTAGGAATGCAATCCTCCACCAAAGAATCAACCACATCCATGTAAAAACACTCACCACTATCTTGACAGGGCCTCTTCATTATTTTGGACATGTCAAAGGTGGCAGACTCATCCCCAACGCGGAGGACAAGCTTACCGTCTCCAACATCAATAAGTGCACGGGCAGTTGCCAAGAATGGTCTGCCCAAAATCAATGGTACCTCCCGATCCTGATCCATGTCCAAAATAACAAAGTCTACCGGAAAAATAAATTTGTCCACTTTAACCAACACGTCTTCAATAATCCCTTGGGGATATTTGACTGAACGATCAGCCAACTGAATGCACATACGTGTAGGTTTAAGTGGACCGAGTGCAAGCTTTTCATATAAAGCAAGAGGCATCAGATTAATGCTTGCACCCAAATCAGCCAGGGCCCTATCAAAAGTAAGATCTCCTATAAAGCAGGGAATAGTAAAAGAACCTGGATCCTTAAGCTTCTTCGGCAGATCTGTCCGTATCACAGCTGAGCACTCCTCATTAAGCGTCACAGTAGACGCTTCTTCCAGCCTCCTCTTGTTCGTGAGCAAATCCTTCATAAACTTCGCGTACTTCGGCATCTGAGCTAGTGCATCCACGAATGGTAAGTTAATCTGCACTTGTTTCATGAGATGCAGAAACTTACCAAACTGGTCACTATCATTCTTCCTAGTCAATCGTGCCGGATAGGGGAG